CAAAGACCATTTGGCTGGCGGGAAGGGAGGTTGAGGAGAGCGACAGGCCAGACACTCTGCTTTCGAGAAGCCAGGGGAGGCTTTTGCTGCTCTGGGCCAGGGCAGAGTGCCAACTGAATTCTCAGGAAGATGTTGGTAGTGTCACCACCAGCTCTCATCCCACAAGGCAGAGGTGGCATCTTATGGACCCCCAGATGTTTTTGGCTGTGAGCCCTGGCCAGCCTAACCGAAGCCTCAGAAGTGCCACAAGGTGTCTAATCCTTCCATGGGCAACCCACACCTGTAGTTCACTATTAAAAGCAGCACTGAAAGATGAACCACTCTTTTGCAAATAACTTACCTTCCCCAGACATTTTACATTTCTAACTGCCTTTTCCCCCCTCTGGCAAGGAACTGTGGGTGACCCACCCCTCCTCTTAATTTATCCTTCCAATAATTCCATGAGCTAAATTGGGTCGAGAGTCCATGACTGGCCCAACATCACCCCATGATCTCTGTTGCTGAGCGTGTTCTAGCATTTGGGTCTCCTAAGTCCCTTGCCAACACCGTAACTACCACTTCATCCTGGCCTTCATGGCCACCGATATTCTGATAACCTCACACTTGGGTTTCCGTTCCTTGTCCACTTGCAAATAGGCTTCCTGGCCAGGACTTGCTAAGAGACAGCCATAGAAATTGCTTTCAGAATCATGGCTGAGGCCTCGAAACTGTAAAGTAACAATAAAGGGTGTTTCAAATGCCTTTCCCTTTCCAGGGAGAAACCTGCATAGCATTTTTAGTTTAAATAGCCAGGACTACAAAGCAGTCATTTCCAGCAGAAGACCTGGTTTCCAGGAAGGCTGAGCATCTAGCTCCATTTATAAGTCGCCTTGCACCCATATCTCCACATTTAAATTACTATTTTGTAAAGACTAACTGGATTCTCTAGATACTTTATCAGGGAGTGGTGGAGGGGGGCAGGCAATAGCAAAACATTTGATTTACGGTTAGAGGCATCTTGCTGCTGTTTGTAGAAACTGCAAGGCCAACTTATAGGAAATGGAAGATTAAAGAGACGTGTAACCTTATTATAAATTGAAAACACCACAGACTTCTGTAGGCAAGAGCATTACAGAGATAAACGTCCCACTAGCTAACACCCAGGGCCTAAACACATTTATGCAGAAGGAAGCTCAGTCAATTCCAATGAACTTAGATTAGGGTTTTACTGTGGTATATTTAATCAAGAAATCACCCAGTATTTAAGGCTGGTGCCAAGATTATTGATTATTGAGTTTCCAGTAATCAGCACGGCGGATATGAAGACTTAACAGCATCGAAAGAGATAATATTGTGGATCTTAACAGTTGTTTAGTCATTTGTGGTGTAAAAAACAATGTTTACTATAATGAGGATAGAAACAGTACCTTCTAACTATGTTATTTTACAGTAATCTTTAAATAGGATGTATGCCTGCAATGAGAAATAAAGGTAGCATCTGAACATGGGTGCCTATTTTACAAAGATAACTTTAAAATAGTGAAAAGAAAATCTCTTTCCAATAAAAAATAAAGAACATAAAATTAATAAATGGATTCTAAATCGCAGCATGATTTAGTTCAAACTCAGAGGTTGTCTTGGACATTACGTTTTCAGTCTCTTTGAAGAAATGATTATGAAATATACAGAAATATAGAATGTGGCCACAGAATACATTCCACAAAAACTGGGGTTTAAAGCTATATAAAATATTAGTAACACTGATCATTATCTAGTGTGGACATCCAAAAGTATCAAAGAAAATTTTTTAGCTAGAATATACTGCTAAAAAAATCAAGTTAAACATATAAAATAAAATTTGTTAGGAAAATGATGGTGGAGAATTATAACATTTGAGTAAAATAGGCTTTGTTAGACCCGCCCCGGCGCTTGGATGTGTCCAGTGGGTGTTCCAGTGTTTTCCTTTGAACAGCGGGCTTCCTTGTCATGGCACAATCTGCTTTCAGGCACCTCCTTTGGTTGCAAAGTGGTTTGGCATGTGACACAGTGGGCCATTGTTGAGGAAACATAGGCTCATAGTCCCCTTGGGCATGCCTTGGATGCGGTGCGTGGCTGGATCCTGGCCAGCAGAGCCAACGCATTGTTTATATTCATTGCCATCGTAGCATCAGCTCAAAGGATTGCTTGCGTAGGTGCGGGCCTACTTCTTGCAAAGAAAGACACTTCTGAGGGTAAAGAAATAGCCTGGCCTGAGTGGGGCGTGCCGGGACCACCCTCCCTTCTTGTCTGTGGGCTTCCCCATCAACTGTTGACCACTGTGTAAGCAGAATGCCGAACTAGATAAACTTCTGGTGCGAGTCAGTTCCTTCATATGAAGAACAAGTGGAATAATGCAATGGCTTGTGTGCCGAGCTGTATGATCCCTTACCCAGATTCAGCATTTGTGCCGCTGCACCAAGGGTAGGCTGGCTCGCAGGCTTGCGAGATGCTCTTACGTACTGAGAAATGGTGAGGTTGTAACTATGGACTCAGTGGGCCGCCATGCGTCTTAAAAGGGTGGCAAGAGAAAAGGAAGAACTTGTTCCAGGACACAGAATATTAAATTGCTTGGACCTTTAAAAATGATAAGTCTCACAAATGTTCTTGCGTTAAGATATATATAGGAAGCTCTACTCCTAGTTACTACTAGGTTGGCAGGAACAGAAAAGGTGAAGAAACTTTTTGGTAGTAGCTCTACTAAATGAATACTCTCATATTTTAAGTGTATGTCTTGCTTGAAAATAAGTAAAGCTTTCCTATTCCTCCTTTCAAATATATTGACGTTTTGTTACAAAGTTGTGCCCAACCTATCATGACCCTATGGACAATATTCCTCCAGGCTCTCCTGCCCTCCACCATCCCCTGGAGTCCACCCAAGCCCACACCCACTGCCCAGTGACTCCATCCAGCCACCTCATCCTCTGCCATCCCCTTCTCCTTTTGCCATCAATTGTTCCCAGCATCAGGGTCTTCTCCAGTGAAAATATATTGATGCTGTTGTTTTATTGTTGGCTTAGGCTTTTCTCTGTACATTTTAGATTCTTCAATAATCAAGCTACTTGGAAAGGAATTGTGATACGCACATCTCCTTATTTGTAAAAGATTCTTTGTAATTCAGATTTCAGCCTGTAAATATGCTGGGAACGCCTTTTCAATTCCAGATGCCAGCCTTATAAAATTATAGGGCAATACAACTGCCAAAAGTATCTATGATAGATGCTAATAGTACCGTGCTGGGTGCTAAGAACTTCTCAAACACAAGCTTTGTAACACAAAAGTCAATATGGATCAATAAATGTAGCTTTAGATCAAGGACTACAGGGGGTGTTTTCATAATTTACAACCATCTTCCTCCACTGTTTCTGGAATATGTCCCTGCTTGCAATATAACATTATGTAGGAGCTGTTTCTGCTTTCTATAATGAACTTCTGATTAGCCAAACTGTATATTGTTGTATGCCATGCAAAGCTGGATTTGTGGTTTAATTATAAGCTAACAATGAACCACCTAGGAAGATAAACCCATTGTTTTTTCTTGCTTTGTTCATGGTTAACAGTTTATACTTAAACCACTGTGCATGGCTCGGATGTAACAACCCATACTGAACCTGTAACCTTACATGTGAACAGGTCTAGTTCAAAAAGCAACCAGGTTTTAATTAACCATGGCTTATTGACTCATGAGTCACTCACTATGTGTCAACCCAGAACTATGAGTTAAGAATAGGTTAATCCTCAACAACTAACAGATTATCCATGGTTTGTTGTTGGGTATGTGAACTGTGGGCTGTGGAGTGAGTGAAGTTGACCACCACTCTTGCCAGGCATCCCAGGGTCCTCATGAGCGGGATTCTGAAGGATGAGGAAACCACAAAGAAGCAGAGATGGGAGTTCTAGCAATCCAGGGAGAGGCACAAGCCTTTGTAGCACCCTCAGGGTGGCTCCCCATGGATTCTCAGGCCGACCAAGAGAGCAGCAATGTTTTAGAAGAGACAAGAGGGGTCAAAGAAGGAGAGAAGGGAGAGCCATTGGCTTGCCCAGTCCTGGACCTCATGATGAGGTGTCAGAAGAGACAAGCTGCCCAGCTGGAGGGCTTGCACAGTTCTTGCCAGCTGGGCTTTTCCTCAGCACGAGTCATCCTGACGGAGCCCACAGACTTAATGAAAGAGAAGGATCTCCTGGAGAAGTTTTGGTTCAACTTTTTTGACATGAGCAAACTCACTATATGGCTTTCAGAGTTGCTTTGTCTTTAGCTGCCAAATGTCCATAAAGATCTGCTGTGCAAAGAGAGTGCCTGGTGATTTGGAGCCTAACGGCAAAAAGGGAAGGGTTGAGCTAATGAGAGGTTGTTGAAATCATGGATTGTTCTTACATGCGGAATTATGGGTTGTTCATGGCTTGCTTAGCCAGGTTACGGAGGCAGCTGACAAAAGCAGTCAAGAATCTAGCCTTCCGTATCACAAAGGTAGTTAGGATCTGAGAAGGGAGCAGTTTGGAGGCGGCAAACAAACAGTTCAGAGACTGGGAAAGCAAACTATGCTTTAAATAAACCATGGGTTAGTGTTAGGGCATATTCTCTGGTTCTGCTCCTCAGTATCCGAACCACTGATGGGTTTGTATGGTAGATCATTATGGAAAGTCTTCACCTGTGCAGGCAATATTAGAAGGAAGTGTTCCGTTCCTTCTACCATGCCAAGATTCTACTCACACAGCAGAAAAACATGGTAGAACCTTGGCAAGGTAGAAGAATCTGAATAGGGAGCATTACAAATAGCACACCCCCCTGAAGCAGCATAAACCAATGTAAACTCAGAATTAGAAGCTATTCCGCAGCATGTGTAAGCAGGCCTTAATCTGTAAGTCAGCTTCCTCTTCTCATAAAAATCCTGCTTTAGACTGTTCACAGGACTCTTTGACCAAAAGGCTGCAATGTCTGAATTCAAAAGAAACCCAGCACAAGCAAAGACTTCAAAACACAATACTAGACTTGTAGGCAAAATAAATATTTTTATTGGCACAATAGCCCCCTTTTTAAAAAGAAATCAACCCTTGTGTATTTTCCAAACTTACAACTCTTTGACCATCTTTCTCATACAATATTGTTACAGTTTTACTAGTCATTGATTATGTTGTCAACATAATATTAAAACTTTAATTAGTTCAAAACAAACAAACAAACAACCCATAAGGTATCCCAGTGGCAGAGATTATGTTCTGAATGTCTTAGCATCCCATAGCTAAACAATACACTGAGAACTCTGCCTACTTCCAATTTTCTCTGTTGTGATAAATGTCATTTCCCTGGGTCATAGCACAACATAAAGATCAGCTGAAGTGGGAGAATATTTCCTTCTACCTTCCCAATAATAATAGCCAAAGTGATCAATCCACTTCAAGTTGTACACCACTTTTTTGTTTTAAGCTAGTGTTTTATAGACCTGTTTTATAAAAGGAGAAAAGAGACACCTCCTTGTATAATTCAGATGTAGTTCATATATAGTTATATATTAAGACTTTTTGAGAAGACAAAGGACATTTCAAAGAAAAAAGGGAGGTTAAAGCATTTTTAAAGGTGTCTACTGCACAAGATCAGGCTTTCAGTGTAAGCATCTTTAGTAGTTCTACGCAAGTTCATGTAATTCTCTAAACACTTGGCAAAAAACAGCCTCTCCAAGAGCTAACCATTTTTACAATAGGTTATTCTCTTCTTTGGAAATGGCATTCCATAACAGCAGTGGAAATGGTTACTTCAAGCTCTCAGAGTGAATCAGTTATTGCACAGTTAAAAAATACCTCATAGAGGTCAGTGGTGTTTCTTGTTGCTGTTGTTGAAAAATAACAATCTGGACTATTTATACACGGGGTGGGTCTAGGAGTTTTCAAGTCTTAGGAGGCACACCTCTACACAGAAATAAAACTATGCACAAAGAAACAGCAGGAACATAACAAATAAATACGAAGACTTGCAAGATAATCTGAGTGTTCCCCGTCTTGCGCTGGCTGCAGGAAGATGGGGCTTGTCCAGTTCGCGACACCGGGAACTGGAGTGTGAATGCAGCACAGCACAAAGGGCTGCGTACAGGAGCTGTCACTTTTGCTCTCTACAGATACTTCCATCCACATGATCCACAAGGAGAATTCCACCATGTCCTTGGACCCTTGAGGAGAAAGAAAAACAATGAGTCAGAAGCAAAACGTACTAGGCACAAATGCAGCATTCGCCAGTGTATTTGCTGGGTAACTCCCAAGACAACTTTTTGGAAACCGGAGAAGATGACTGGAGGGCACATCAAGAGAGCTGCTGGATTCAGTATGGAAAGGTGGGCACAGAACTGGGTCGTGTTTACAAGGAAGGTTTTCATGTTGTTCCTTAGCTGTGCTTGAGCCCTGGATCTTTGGGAATTTTATCCACTTGAGTTGGGCGTCGGTTCTGCAAGGCTCACAGCTCCAGCCCAAATGCAAAACATTCACCTCAGGATTATCATTCCATCAACATGAAAGTATTTACACAAGATGAAGTAAGTGCTTACTTAGTATGGTAGTGCAAAATATTTTCCTGGTTTATTTAAAATGGAAGACAGACCTTAGATGTGTGTTCTTTATTTAGTAATAACTAAGACACAGGAATAACTGCAATTTACACGCCAGGGAAAAACAGACCCTAATTTTACATTGGCAAAAGATATCCTGTATTTTGTAGTGCAGGATTGCAGAAGAGAAGGCGGGGGGACCACTCTGTGGCCTTCCAATTGTTTTAGCCTACAACTCCCATGATCCCTCATCATTGCCTGTGCTGGCTGAGGCTGACAGAAGTTGTAGGGCAAAAGTACAGGAGAGTCTCACGTTGCCCACCGAGTATAATGATTAAATTGTTAAACTAGAACCGCAGAGACACAGGATGAAATCCCCTTCAGCCACAAAACTAAATTGGTGATTGTAGGCCAGGCCACTGCCTACCTCACAAGGTTGTTACAAGGAGAAAATGGGGGAGAGAGAACAGTAGATACTGCAGGGAAAGGCAGGATATCAATGCAATGAATGAATGAACAGCTGAACGTTTTCTGACATACAGAGCACCATGTTTTGTGCATGATGGAGCAATGCCACAACCCTCGCCTTCAGTTACCACTCACAGCTCACGCATAGCTCTACAGTAATGCTGAAGAAGTTACCTGCAGTGCCAATTCACGGCTGCATCTCTTGCTTAGAGTTGGCAGATCTGCTAGGGGAAGAGACAGCTGCTAACAGTCCACTTACGATTTCTCGTCTGATTTCACCGACAATAGATTCTTTGATCTAAAAACAAGACCATGGATTAAGTCAGAGTCTGTCGCAGGTTATTCAGATGAATTCATAGCCCACACGACACCAAAGGTTCAGATTCGGCAGCCGCTCCTCCCAGGCTCCTTCTCAAGCTTGGCGCCAAGAAGGAATCACCACTCACTCAGCTGCTGGAACCCCACCTCCTCTTCAGCACCAAGGCTGGGAAGAGGGCAGGCAGCTCCCCGGCATGCGGGAGAGGTGGCACACGCACCGTGGTGGGCAAAGTGGTCAACACCTAAGGTGGGGCTGCAGCTGATCGCCCGGGTTTTCCCTTCCAAAACTGGTGCAACACAGAGACAAGGTACCACAATGGTGGGTGTTTTGTGAGCCCACTCAAGTGCTTTTAATGCCCCAGAGGAAACCCAGCGTTTCACAAACTATGGGGCAGTAGGGGTAGAGAGGGTGGTGCCCTTTTCTCCACTCGGGCACTGACCAGCTGCTTTGGGCAAATTAATGATTTCCTCCAGAAATGGCATCTATCTCCACCATTCTCGCAGCACTGCTTAGCTGAGTGTCCTTTAGCAAGGGAAATGCTCAGGCCACCCCCCTGGTTTCTATTTTAACTTGTTGGTCTGGGAGGCAGGATGTTGCAGAGAAGTGCTCTTCCCCATTCCCATGCACAGGCCTGAGCTGCCTCTCTCATTAGCCCTCTTCCTTGTTACCTTGCAAGTAATCGCTGAGGGTTTATTACCCAACTGATTCAAATCTCTCCAGTACCACTGCTTCTGTTTATCAGGGAGTTTCAGGGCTGCAGTCATGAGTAACTGAGTATGAGCAGTGAAAACCTTGAATGGCCTCTGATCCAGGGTCTCTGCAGGACTGGCTTCTTCCAGAAGAACCCACACACCAAGCCAGATAAATCAGAGGCCCTTCCCCTAGAGGAAAGAAGGCCTTCTCTGTGAGGGAACCCATGGCACTCCTTCGACATGGCCTAAGTGCATCCTTTTTCACACGCTCAGTGGTATCTAGGCTGTATATACCCAGCTTCTCTGATAGTTTTATCTTGCAGTCCATGTATTGCTGTCTCTTTTGTGGTTCTTACTGCCATTCATTGTATATTACATTTTACATGGATTTGTTTTGTATTCTGCTTTGAGGGCATTTCTAAAAAAAGGTGGAGCATAAAACCTGAATGTAACTAAATGAAAATCAAATGCAAATGATGATGCTTATCTTCCATCCACAATGGAAAGGCAGGCAGAGAAGGCTTGACTTACTGAGCAGGTGTAAGGCTGCATATCTAGCTAGCTTTGTTCCTTCCTCAACACCCTTCAGGACTATAGCAACTGGCAGGCACTGAAAGTGAAGGAGTCCAGTTGCAAGGCCAATGACGTGCCTGGAAGAACCAGCAGTCCTTCGTGGGGACCTGCGCTGCCTGGCGTGGGGGCGTGGCAGGCAGTCCTAGCTCCTCACCTCCTAGAGTCACACTCTGCTGACTGTATGTTGCCCTGCACACACGTGTGGCTGTGCTTCTCCCTCCAGCTGCCAGGGAGGGGGAGACACACGGCGTCTAGAGCCGTCGCAGTGCTGCATGGGGTCAGGACGGAGCTGTAGGCAGCTGCCCCGGAGAACGCGGGAGTTCCAGCCCTGGCAATGGGGGGCAGGTGGGGGTGACGGGAAGTACAAGCTGGGAGAAAACGAGACAGCGGCCAAAGCCAAGGAACAAGCTGGAAATAGACCTGAACCAAAACAACAACACCGACAACAAAAACCTTCTTGTTGCCCCAAAATGCTGCCCAGACTTCTACCATCTGCTTATCAGGCCAACCTGGGTGGGGAGGGCCAGTCCAGACCCTGGAGCACTTCAGCACCCTGGAAGCTGCTCCCAGTGGCAGTCCTCGTGGTGGCCCATGGGGCAGCCATGCAGAGCACCATGGGTCTGGGTTCCAGCCCCAGTGATTCCCAGCGATACCCTGCCTCCGGGATGCTGCTCCTTCCGGGCCAGTTGCTACCCACTCCAGGCAAAAGGCAGAATTACAAAAGCTATGAATAAATGTGATGAAAATAAACACTGCCTTCTGAAATAAACTGATAAAGACTTCTTAAATTAGCACAGTTAATGGATGAGCAAACAAGATTCATCTTTGTGGGAAAGAACAGGACTAGGAACAGGCAACTTGTGTTCTATTCCTGGCTTTGCAACAGCAAGGCTTCCTGTGTGACCTTGGCAGGAAGTTGTAAGTCTTCTTACATCCAAGTTTGCTTTCTACAGTGAGGAATAGCTAGGCACTGTAATAAATAATTTTAGCAAAGGATGCAACTCCTCAGCTGGAAAGTAACATGTAAGAAAGAGCATTGGAGATGCAACTGGTCTGCTATTTGTTTTTAATGCTTTGCAGTGGAATATATTCCCCAAAGGACATTGAAGTGAAACAAAGAAAAACAAACAAACAAACCCAAAAAACAAAAAAACATGCACTGGAATTTACTTCTCCAAAACAGCAGTTTTGCAAAACAGGTAGATTGCATGCGTTGCTCTTTCTGGAGAAGCTTCTTGGTAGTAGAAATGCCTGCATATGCTTATATCCCTTCACCCTACCAAGAAATTGGCATGACTCACACATGTGAGGCCTTGAGAGAAGAAGGCTGTGGGGGGACATGATCTCACTCTATCAGTACCTCAAAGGCAGTCACAAAGAGGTAGGTCAAAATCTCTTCTCATTGATACCAGAGAGTAGGATACAGAATAATCCATTCAAGTTGCAACAACCCAGATTCAGGCTGGACATCAGGAATAGCATCCTTACTGTCAGCAATACAACAGTGGAACCAGCTGCCTAGGTGGGCTCTCCCACACTAGAGACATTTAAAAAGAACCTGGACAGCCATCTGAGTGGGATGGTGTAAAGTGGTGTCCTGCACCAGCAGGGGGTTGGACTCGATGGCCTTCATGGCCCCTTCCAACTCTACTATTCTAGGATTCTAAGTGCACCAGTCTCTTGAAAAAAGCATCAAGAAATGATCCAGAAATATTAAACTATCATTCTCTTAGAACAATTTAAGAAGTATTCCCTGCTAGTCAGTGGATGCATTATTTAAGCAAAGGACTTCAGCACTTGTTCTTTTTGCATGCGTATAGTCTATAAATCAGACTGAATGTTCCTCAAGCCAAGAGGAACAAAATTAAGTATCTTTGCATTGTTGCAGTTCTCTTCTGTGTGGCTGCACTCATTTCTCTGAAGGGACAGTGGGCTCTTTGTCATTCCAGTAAATGGTTGCAGGTCAAAAGCTCAAACACATTACTGTCCACTCAGGCATATCCTGAAAGATCATGTGCTTTTTATGCCTCTTCCTCTCCCCACCCCTCCCCATGAACAAGACAATTCAGCATATGGGAGGAGAATAACCGAGTGAACCATGAGCTTAACATTTGTGAAGAAACAGGATGGATGCATTCCAACCGGTTTCCCTGCAATGGCTTCATTCTGCTTTGAAGCCAACAAGGCAAGGCCGATGTGTTCAGAAGGTATGAGCCACAAAGATGACCTGCTGGATCTCCAGTAGCAGCCATCAATTTAAGCCTAGCAATTAAAAAGAATATTTATATACTGTCCTTAGTCCATACAGGATCTCAGGACAGATTGCACAGAAAGGACAGTTTACATAGAAAGTGTGCTCATCCTTTCCTCAGATATCCAACTCAAAACTGAAAGTTCATTCATGTTCTTTCAAGTGCACAGTATCAGGCCCAGACACAAAACAAGTCAGTTTATGTGCTATGGAAACCCAAACTACAGGGTATATGTTGTCGTTAAATAATGGGTTGTCATTACATGTAGACCTGGACCAATTGTTTAACTATGAATTATTGACTGTGAACAATGATCTTTGTACAAACACTGGATACAGCACCATTAATCTAGTTCCCTAAATTTACAAGGCTCTTGGATACAATGACTGGAGGGTAAAGGAAGTTTATGCAATATTTGTATTATGTGGTTAAGTTTTCAAATTCTAGCCAAGTAAGGCACAGAGAAAAACATGCTTCCTTTAGTTTCCAAGACAGTCTCTTTTATAAAACAATGTTTTAAAAACCTTAGTTTAAAAGCCAATGGATTATATTTATTTATTTAAACTGGAGTGTGCTTTGTTGGATTAGTCCGACAATTGCTAAGTATTCTCTCCGTGCTAAGTTCAGGCGCCTGGATGGCTTTTGCATTGTTGCGCTCAGAATATGTTGAAGTATAAATGCAGCTGCTTTCCTCCAAATGTTTGGCACTGCAGCTCCCATCAGCCTGGACGGTGGTCAGGACTGCTGGGAGTTGTAGAATGAAACATCTGGAGGGCACCAGATATGGGAAGGTGAGCTACACGCCCCCCCCATGCAATCTTTAAATAAAAAGAGGTAAATTCAGCCCTCAGTATTTCCACGAGAACTTTTCTCAGCCCACACTCAGCCTTCCCCTCCTTGCACAGCTCTCCCCAGTGAAGTTTAGGAATGAGTTACTAGGGGAAAAGCTTCCAGTTTTGCATCTGGCCAACTTCTCTCAGAGTCGGGGCAGCAACATAATTGTTTTCTCCAACCATTTATACTGATTCATTTACTTCTGATCCTTTAAATTATGAAATTGCATCTCATTTGATTTAAGCCTTCAGGTGCATTATAGAGTGAGACAGAGAGAGGGAAAGGTAGACAGAGGGAAAGGGAGACAGAGACAGACTCCTTCCAGGAGGAAATTTCTAGTCAGCCCGTCCCTAACCTCTCGGATGACTTGCTGCAGTTCCTCCTCCTCTATGCTCCTGTGCATGTCTTCAGCCGCTGGTGCAGGAGGCATTTTTTCAAGTTTCTCTTCCATCTCCGCTCTGCCTGTGGCGTGTGCCTCGGAGCATTCTGCTGGCTGCCCTGCTCCTGCTCTCGCTGGCGGCGAGGGCATCAATGCCACAGATGCCCGGTAGAGTTTGACACCCTGGGGCTTGGACCTCCTCGCCTTTTCCAATGAACGTGCACCAGCTTTTCTACTAGCTTGACTAGAGCACACGGAAGAGGAATCGGAATTTCCACCCGGATCAAATGTGGATTCGGAGCCTTCTGCTGGAGGTGTCACCATTTCAAGTTCTCCCAGTCCCAAACCCAGCTCTGATTTCAGAAATGATTGCTCTCGAATAAGTTCAGAGACCTGTGGATTTGGAGGTGCAGGACAGAAAAAAGAGACCGTTGCTTTACCCAGCACCATGTGATAATTACAGAAGGATAAACAGTAAAACCCCTGTACCCACTGTTTCAGTTACCCATGGTGGACAGCAGTCTGAAAAAATTAAACAAAAAATTCCAGGGAGAGGGAAGAGGCCCACGAGGGCAGCACTGTGTCTCTCAACACAGGAATGCTCCCCTTTCTGCCCACCACTGGCCTGAAGCAGCACCCACCACAGAAAGAGAGAGAGGGAGAAACAATCGGAGGGGGCAGAGATATCTGCAGTTTTTCCACTTTTCCAGGGGTGCTGTGCCCCGTCCCCTGTGAATGTGAGGGCCAACTGTAGAGTATATAGTGTTCACTACCACCTGTAGTTTCAGGAACCTGGGGAGGGGGGTGCTTGGCACCTTTCCCCCATGTATATGGGGGTCCTACTGTAACAGGAACACAAAATGGGTGTCATACTCCTGAGCCATGCACCATGTTCTGAACTGCACTGGAACACACTCCATCCCCACCTATCTCCAGACGCAACACAAATTCAACAGTGTGCCCCACCTCTTCATAGTAAACATATATAAATGGAGATCGCATTACTTCGGTTGCCTTTCTGATCCTACCAGAAGATGATCTGGGCCTGTCATCAATGATGGCGGCGTGTTGCTAGGGCCTGCCTAGCCATCTGGTGGCCTCAGCTAAGCCATGTAGCCAACGGAAGGAGGGGGGCAGAGCGTGCAATGTCTGTGTGCTTCCAGGATTCTCTCCTATGGGTTTAACAACTATTATGCACTGCCTTGAGTGTCTTCTTCCAGTGCAGAAAAACAAAATAGTTTATACTTCTAAAACCCTGAACAAAAAACCCCAGGACCTTATGGGACCCCTCACCCAATGTCCCCTTGCCCCATGGCTCAGTTTAGCTAGGCAGCTTTGCAAACAGTGCCCCAAAGCTGTTCGCCTTTTGTCTGCTAAAGCCAAAGCCCCAAGCTGAAGAAAGCTGCCTTAAACCCTCAGAGACCTGACTTCCTTACTATTCATTAGTGATGTGCTCAAGTCCTTTACTCCAAGCCTCCAGTCAAGTCTCAGGTCTCGACTTTCAAGTCCAAGTCAAGCCTCAAATCAATTCAAGAAATCTTCAAGTTGAATCTCAAGAGCCAACTTTAACAGAAGAAAGGGAGGTGGTGGTGGGGTGTGTGTGTGGGTGGCTGGTGGGGAGAGTTGTAATCTCCCCAATGTTCCCATCTGCACTTAGCAGGGAATACAGAACACCCCACATTTGGGGGCACTCCCCCACCAGCGATTCATTTAAGCTGTTTTTGTTTGCTCCTTCCTGGAAACAGAGCAGAGGCAGCATGCAGGAGAAGCGCAAAATGCACTAAAAAGAGCCGAAGCCATCCCCCCATACCGCAACCGCTCCCTTGCCCCCAACCCTGAGTGTCACAGTCCCTATGCAAATGGAGGCCTTGCATATTTACACAAGAGTAAGGCAAAATTTACTTGGGCCCTGACATGAGTCCCGGCCATGGCTCTTGGGGGTACTTACCGGTTCCATCACGTGCAGTGGAGAAGGGCACGACAAATTGTCAGCACTTCTGCTTCCATACATGCCCTAGAGGAGGAAAGCAAGAAGAAGTTGAGATCATCTTCATTTCTGGAAGCTTTCTAAACTGTTCAACTGCCCATGCTACCTGTTACCTTTGCAAAAAGTGACTGACAATCGAGATAACCAAAAAAGACCCCCCACACAAAAGGGGCAACACATATTATTCTACGCAGGCAATTTGGATGCTGTCCTATTTCCATTAATGAAGGAAGGAAGCATATTTAAAGCTTTTTTGTCCCCACAATTCCTCATTTTCTCTTTCCATGATTGCATTTGCCTCCTGAAAATTAAAAACCTGGCACTGCAGAAGATGGCACTTGCTTAGCAGGTAGTCAGAGCTATTCCATCCAGAATGCCAGCCTCCTCAAACGATACATAGCCAGAATACTCCAAAGGAATGAAAGTAAGCACCCTGTTGTTTGGTTGGACTTCGATCGCAAAATCTCCTTCTCGGGGTTGCTTAGGTCAAGAAAGGAGGAAGACTCCACTGTTCCTGGATGGCGGATGGATTACAAAGCTTGACCGTTTGTGGCGCTAACATGAGGGGTGGGCAACATGTGGTCCTCCAGATGTTTTGATTTAGAATTCCTATGAGACCTAGCCAGCTCAGTCAACAGTGAGGGAACATGGGAGCTGTGGGCCAAAACATCTGGAGGGCATCATATGGCCCAGCCCTGCACTGTATTTACATTTAAAAGATGTTCCCAGCCCTGATTTAGGGTGAAGGCCACATTCTTTCAGGGGAAATCTAGTAGCTGCATACCAAGGGTAGGCAGGGCCACAGTTGGTGGCAAGCAGAGACAAAGCCAAAAATAGAGATGAGCTTGAACTAATAGCAGGCTATTTGCCTGTCACCCCCTTTCTCTTCCTACCTCTTTATCTCTTGTTTCCTCACTCTTCCTTCCCTCACAAAAATCCCTGGCATGGCAATCTGGCTGAGGAAACAAGGTCCACACAAGGAAAACTAAGTCTAATTGCTGTGCTGGAACAGGACTGAGCGAAAGAAGCTGTGGCTAGTTCCTAGTGCAGGTTGCATTCTGTCCAAAGATCAGCACTTCCCCAACTCGGATGCAGGGCCAAATTGTTCTGGAGCAAGCTGCAGCCAGGCGGCTTCCAGAGAATGGGCAGCACAACAGCAGCCCCTCCTTAGCGTTCCCCTGGAGGAGAGCCAACTCTACCGTCTGGCTGCAGTCATCTCACCACCCACAGACGACCACCCAGGGGACAGGATCAGCACTTCTCCTGAATGGCTGTGATCCCACCACCGCAATGCTGTGGGCGGAATGGCCACCTGTCTCAGCGGCTCGCTCCAAACGGCTCTGATGCCGCAGGCTTGGCAACACACCAGCATGCCTGACAGCGACCCTTAGCCTGTGAAACGCCAATCTACGTGAAATTGGCTCCATTCGAAAACAGACTGTTCAATGCAACTACTGTCTGTGCCAGTGGGAAAACAAAGCCCAGCCCAGGAGGGGAGAGAAACTAACTCGCTCCTGATCTTTCCCGTTGCTCTATTTCCCTTACACAGACGTGTCTACGAAATGGATACTTTTGGATGGACGATGCAGCTGCATCATCATCGCAACCGCTGCCGCAGGGGGCCGTTTTCCATCAGGCAGCAGACATGCACTACTCAGCTCCACTACAGTGGAACTGGGAAGATCAGACCGGGCCATTAAGATTGGCTTCCGTGGCAAGCATCTATTTCCGAGATACACAAACATTTGCGGCAATGAAGGAAACACAATACCCACCATCAGCGTTTGCTGCCTGAAAGGGGAAGATACATGCATACTCCTTAGCTGTTCTTCAAGACCGAGGAGCCGTTCCTCCAGCTGCATTTCTAGTTCCTGAAGCTCCATACGGACAGATTTTCTCAGAGTTTGGAGCTGATCAGCTTCATATCTAAATTGGGAACAAGTTCAATGGAAAAGAGAGCACTGTTTGAGCTCTGCTAAATGCACAAATCAGCAGAAGAAACTGAGGAACTTGCACCATATCAGGACCTAACACATTCGTGTGGAAAAGCAGGGGTGGAATTTGCCTCTCCTACCCAGTTATTTTATTATTGACTTGGGGTTGCAGTGGTTCAGTTTTAACTTGTTAGCATAACAAACCCTTTCCCTTGTCACTTCTGTGATGACAAACAGAGGTGATTTCAATGCAACGATTTCAGCTTAACAGGTTCTAACAAAAATGTGGACGACCTGTGGCCATCTAGTGTTTTGGCCCGCAGCTTCCATGATCCCTCACTATTGGCTGTGATGGCTGCGGCTAATGCTTGCTGCTGCAAGTGAAAACATCTGGAGGGCACCACAGTGGGAAAAGGCGAATTGAAGAGTTGGCTAGCCCTACTGGGACCTGGGTTCAAGGCTTCAATTACCACAAAGTACACTGGGACCTTGGCTTAGTCACGGTGTCGGAACCAAATGGACATTACAGCCTTGAGAAGATAAAAACCAGGTGGCGCAGAGAGCTCCTTGGAAGGGCGAGCATTTATAGTATATTGTGATAAATATATTAAGAAAAACATTGCTCTGCTTTTCCCACTGGCATCATCAACCCCATCCATGCAGGGAGACGCAGACAGGAAGGTGCACTTGATCAGGGTTTGGAGCAGAATATTTGGAGGTGCCAGCGAAGCCAGCATGGAGCGCCCTCCTTTGCTGTCCCAGATCACACGAATGAGATCAGCTGGTGCTCAGAGGAGCGGCTTTTCTGAGAAGTGCTCAGTCTGCTGCCTTTGTCACCACTTGCCATTCTAGTTAGAGCTATGAGTGGCACGCAAATCCAAGCCTTTCCTTGAGCTCCACCTACACCCGGATGTGCTGGTCAGGCAGGGATTTGGCCTGGGAACTGGAGTTTCCCCATCCCTGCTCTATGTGATAAGAGAGCCAAAAACTGAAGGCTGAGCTACAGAGTAAAAATCATCTGAAATCTTAAGGAATTGGAGCTCAGTGTTAAAGAAAAAAAGAGAAGAGAAAGAGAGAGAGAGAAGAGGAAAAACAAAAAATGCAAGAAACTTACCAAGAAGGAAGCGATCATAAGGCAATGGGACAAAAAGTTGGTCTTGACAATATTCTGAACTGAACATACAGGAGAATGCTGGCAAGATGGGTAAAAATCAGCAGGGAGAAAGTTGCACTGGTCTAACGTGAGTGATGATTGGAAACAAAGCATTTTAGTAATACAGGCAGAATGAAGAGACCAGCTCTAGACGTGCAGAAGGGGAAGGAGGAGCAGAACCAGCCAGCTTGCTTGAGCAAGGTGAGAAGAAGCATGTTGTAGGATTAATTCAAGACTGTACACCTAGAAGAAAAAACAGTGCTTTCAAATTGAAAGCAAACTGGTTGGGAAGGGTTTGGTGCAAACACCAGGCACTCACTTGCAGGTATAAAGACAACAGCAAGTTATCCCAGTGAGAACTGCTCTGCTTACCTTTCTTCTTCTGTCATGTGCTGATAAACTGTGGTTTGCTGCCGCAACATGGCCAGTTCCAAATCCATCATTTGTGTCCTAAAGAGGTTTAGATTCCTCCTCACAATCTGAAGATCTTGGAAGGTATTCTAGATAGGTATAGAAAACAATAGTATTTGTACTCTTGAACTCCAGCTAAAAAGAAGCAATTCTGCTAATACACTTCACAGACACAATCTAGGTTCTGTGTATCAGAGGTGGGCAGAAGGTAAGTAGATCTCGTTCAGATGTTTTGAATTCCAATTTCCAGAAGCCCTTGATGTCAAAGGTCAAAGGTCAGGAATCCTGGGAGCTGAAGTTCAAAGCAACTGGAGCCTTTCTGTTCAGCCTTGCTACAGATATATGTCACATCTGTACTCTCGAAGTACAGCTAGAGAGTACTCGTTCTGCCAATGCATTTCTATTATTAACACAATCTAAGTTCTGTATTGGGAAACAGCAGCTTGTGGCCAGTGGGCTGAGTCAGCCTTCCCACCACCTCAACTAGAGCTCTCAGGTTGCTTCCTGATGAGGATTTTATTGCCCTGCCTCATTTATTTGTGGGGTCCCCAGATGCTACCTCCTTCTGCTTGAAAACCTCCCATTGCTTCTTAAAAGAAATCTGTTATGGATGGATGGATGGATGGATGGATGGATGGGAGGAAACACTGTGCAATGCCTTGATACTGCCAATGTGAGGAGTTGTCTGTGTAGAAGCTCCCACAGTTAGCCCTGAAAACAGCTCAAAGTTGAAAAGCATGGAAGGTGGAGGGAGGGCTGGATATGCAGGGGAGAAGCAAATCCCGTACGTCAGTCTACTACTTTCCTCTAGCAAGGGAAGGGGAAAAGAGATGATCCCCAGAAGGGAATCCTATATCTCTCTCGACATCTTAAATCTGCAGAGTGACCATTCTTTTATCATGAATAAAATACGGATGCAGAAGAAAGCACCACTTACTTCATAGAGAGGTAGAATGGATGATCTCTGGGCATTGTAAGGGGGTGTAGTGAAGTCATGACCTCTCAGCATTGCATTCTAGAGTCAGGAAAGAATAGAAAACCACCGCGGAATGAAGTACAACACATTTTAACAACTTGGTCCGTTGGACACACTAAAACGAGTATGCAACCAAAAAGCATCCATTTTGCAGACAACATGACAGGTAGCAAACACCATTATGGAGAACTTTAAAGAACACAGAAAGAACATAGACCATTTCCTCTTGCCTGTTTTACTCTTCTCTAATAAATGAAGCTGTAATCTTAGGCATGTTTAGACAGGAAAAAATGTCCTACGGCTCCCGGCATGCCCCAGCTGGCCTGGAAGCTGGAGAACTTTTTCCTGCCTAGAAATGCCTATGACTGTCCCCTTTATGGGTAGGTTAACTGCCATTTCAAGCAAACAAAGACAAACTGTTAATCCCCTTGCTCTAGCTGTATCCATCATCTCTCTCTCATTCTCTCTCTCTCATTCTCTCTCTCTCTCACACACACAGAGGGAGGGAGGGAGGGTAGGAAAACCTTTGCCCCTTTCAGCATGGAAATATGCAGCAAGTCCAGTAAAGGAGTCTTATGTACTATAGAAACTGGAAAAACCCAGATTCCACAAACAGGATAAGTAAGGTTGTGCCACATTCGTAATTACCCGGATTTCAAAATTTCTGGTCAAGTTTCGGGAAACCCCCATTTGAAAACTAATAACAAATCAATATCTTTTGTATCTTAAGTAGGATTTCTATTTGTGAAAGGCTCTACTAAAATATGAACATTCCCCTACTGCCCAGAAGACAGAGTTGCATCTGGCAAGTATATTGGAATATAACAAAGCTATTAGGTACAGATCATGGCTGTAAGAAGGGAAAAATTTTATGGTCAGTTTTGGAAGGAGCTAGTGAAAGGCAGCCTGTAGATAGAAGGTGTTTAATCAAGATGTGGTAGATAAAGTGCTATAAAAATATCCAAAGCTATCAAAATACCCATTTTCACTACCAAAAGACTTGGTTCAGATTCTACAGTTACCTTGTCTATGTTTATTTCTTTTCTCCATGTCATGATGGAAAGGATTTTTTTTTTTTTTATCAGGAGCATGTGTGGTGTACAGATCTCTTGTACAGAACTCTGTCCTTAAGGGTTTCCTTTCCATTTTATGTTGCATATAATGGCTCATCCTAGGCCTACCATTCTGTGCTGGCCCTCCAGATTGTGGCCTCCCTCAGGTGCGCAACAGCAGGTGCCCGTGAGAACCCCCTGGGCACTCCTTAACAACAAACGGTCCTGTGCCACCTTAAAGGCCATAAGCTTCATGGGAAAAAATGAACAGGGATCCCCCAAACAGAGGCAAACAACGAAACAAAACAGTGGGGTGAATGAGAAATATATGATGCCACACAAGTGCATTTCAGACCCCTTCCAGGAAAAGCCTGTTTATGCCATCAGTCATTTGCTCATATTCAAGGTTTCCACAAAGGTTGCCGCAAGGTTGCCAACAAGGGCTCTTTGCTCTTCTGGTTGCCAAGGATGCCAAATGAAAGAAATCAAATTAAGCCTTTATAAGGTTGAGTTCTCATGTTTCAACTCCAACTTATTTATGTGAAGGACAATGTGACTCAGCTTAGAGGGCATCTAATTTGGGTCTGGGAATTCAAATCCCAGGTTAGCGGTGGACTTGCAAGATCGCGTGTTGGGCACATTTCGGCTCCCTTGGTCATTAAAACAGACGACAAGCAAGAACAGTGTTAAGGGCCTTCAGCCTTAGGGGTCAAAAATCAAAATCAAGGTCCCCACATGACTTTGAGTGCAGCCCCCTGCCAGTCTTGCCCTTTAGCAAATGCAATGCAATGCAAGGGTTGTGATTTTCAAACTAAGTTCACCCCTTTTGAGTCTCCCTTGGGGTTTGCCAGCAATTTTATATTATTATTATTGTTATTGTTATTGTCATCATCATCATCATCATCACCATCACCTCCACCTCCACCTCCACCATTTTGCTGTGTACATAGTGTCATAGCAAGAGTGCACTCTGAGGAGGATCAGGGAATTGGTCCTAGGGCTACTGAACTTGCCAAATCAACTTGGATGCCAGCAGTCTTAAGTCAGCAACACACACGAACTCACCCCTTGACATGCTGATGGACAGGTATGGCAATCCTCCCCAATCTGGTGCCCTTCAGAGAACTGGACTGCAACTCCCACTACCCACAGCCACCATAATGGACCAGGTGGCTGGGTATGATTTATTTTAATTGTTGCCTGTCCCTTTCATCATGGAACTCAGGGGGACCACAAGCCGGTCCCCCGTGGCCTCCCATCTAAGAACTGACAAGAGTCGAGCCTGCTTAGCTTCAGCAGCAGGGCTGCTCCCTGGGCCTTCGGGCTGTTCCCTAGGAATCACCGCCCCCTGCTCCTGGAGGGCACCAGGCTGCAGGAGACCGTAGAGCAGCCCCACGCTTTCTCCCTTACCTGTGAAAGGTTTTGTAAAGAGCTTCGGATATCATGCAGGACCCTCCTGAGTTGCATTTCCACCGTGGAGGGCGAGCTGGTGGAGTGGAGCTGGTGGGGGTGCCCAACATGCCTCAGTGCGTGAGGACAGCCCAGAGAGGAAGGCATGGCGCCGCACGACGACCCAGGGGTGCTCGGGATACTGTGGGCACTGAATGTTCTCATGCGTGCACAGAAAGGGAAGTCCAGGCAATCAGAAGGGATTGAGTGCAGCGAACACGTCGACTGAGACATGTGTGTGGGGAGGTGCAAAGGGCAACCCTGCATTCTGCTGCAACATGGCTCTTCCATCCCTTTGTTTGCCGCAGGCTGGGAAGACTCTTTCCGAACGGATGAAGGACGAATGAAAAGGGTAGAGGTGCACCTGGGGGGACTGTCCTGGACCTCACCGATGGGGGGCTCATCTTCGCTTTCCTCCTTCCCACCTTCCTTAGGTGTGTCAAACTTGTAAGTGAATGAAGGAGGGCTGCACAGTGTTTGCTTCCCTGGGGTTAGCTGGACATTGACGGAGGAGACGACTCTCACTGGGTTTAGCAGTACAGTGGGGAGGGACTGTGAGCGCCTGAGGTCGGCCGTCTGATGTCTCTGCTTGAGAAGGTCTTTGGATCGGAGCAGAGGGCGGCCAGCTCTGGAATCGGATGAACCACTGATCTTCGTTTGGGCTCTCTGCAACGCAATCGCAACCTTTTCTACAGAGGAAGGAGATGAACTGGTGCTTTCCAAAGAGGCCACTGACTTAAGTATATGGTGAGTTTTGTATGGTGGAAATTCACATTCGCTGCTTTTGTCTGCATCACTCTCTCCACTGCCTTCCTCCAGTGCTCCAGACTCAGCCTCTTCATGTTTTCTAACGAACTCTCCTTTGCCAAGTCCTTTACCTTCTTCACTTTGAGTTTGCCCAGCTCCACCTCCTGGAATTCTCTGGCCTCCCCCTGCATTAGTCCCATAAAGCACATCCCTCCCTTGCTGCTCCATTTCTGAGAGAAGGAATTTCTCTTCATCAAGCTCATTAAAATAAGCCTGTTGTTCAGCGACGGGCGTCTTGAGTTCTTCACTGTAAGACGTCACTGTCATCTCGCTGTCACAGCTGTCGGCACTGCTTCCCATGGCCTGCAACGATTCGTGTCCCTGCCAAGAGCATGTGAGAAATGAGCGAAGAGAACCCAGCTGTGAAAAACAGCAGAGTTGCACCTTCACACTCAGGAAAGAAAAAAAAGTAACAGCAGAGGGCACTAATTTATCATATTTTGAAACCATTCATGTTTTTTCTTAAGGCATCTTAAGATCCTGAATTCGGATCCCTTTTCCTTTCACAGAGAAATGATATGCCCATCTCAGCAAGATGCCTACTACAATTGCACAGGAAAGACCTGGACAGACAGTCCTTTAAGAAACTCAATGCACAAGTACAGCTTGTTTTGCTCAAGCTAACATGCCATGTTTTCTGGTTTTCAACACATCCATTCAAATAAGCAGAATTCTACACATGGTATCTGTACAAGGCTGCTTTTTGGCTGGATCAGCACCAACAGCTGGCATTAGCAGTGGGCTCAATGGGTCACTGAGGCCAGGAAAAATTGTTTCTCAATGTGATTTTAAGTGACTAAACAGATGCTGAAACTTAAAACTGACCAGTTTTTCTGCTGGATAGCTCAATGCAGGTGTTAACCCAGCACATGGCTATGTGAAAAAGGCAAGCTCTATGTTATGGTTAGGAAAGGAAAGGAATCAAAACCAGAACAGCAATATCATAATGCATTTAGAGCCAGTGTGGTGTAGTGGTTAAGAGCACGGGACTGGGACTCAGGCGATCTGGGTTCTAGTCACCACTCAGCCATGGAGCCAACTGGGTCAACTGGGTGACTTTGGGCCAGTCACAGACTCTCAGCCCAACCTACCTCACAGGGTTGTTGTTGTGGGGATAAGATGGAGGAGGAGAATGATGTAAGCTGCCTTGAGCCCTTTGTAGGAAAAAGGCAGGATATATATTGAAAAATAAATAAATTATGACTCTGTGGTACAACCACACTTCAAATACTACATATTACCCTTGGCACTTCTAAAAGGGATACTGTAGACTGAGGAAAGGGTAACCAAAATGGTCAAGGGGCTGGAACAACTCTCATGTGAGTAGAAGTTTCCAAATTTGAGACGAATAGGTTAGAAAAAAAAGGTGGACAGGCAGAGAAGGGATGTGATGGAATAATAAACCATGGTACATGGTGTAAAGAAAACAGACAGGGAGAAGTTTTTCCTCTCTCTCATAGCATTAGAATCTGTGCACTGAATGTGGGAGATTCAGAAGAGATACACAAAGCTTTAGAGTTGGACTCTGGCAGGGCCATCTAGCTTTCGTTAAGGCCCCCAGGGTGCCTTTTGGGTGAAGAACATGATGACACTATTTACATAAAAAAGTAAATAAATATAGTGAAAGAAGTGGTCCTGTGACCCCTAAACATTGGTTGGAGGCCACAGAATCAATCTGATTCCTAGCTTTGAGGTTGGAGCTGGGGACTGGAGCTCTGATTCCCCTCTTGGTTGGTGTGGAAAGAACAGGACAGGCAGTCCTCTGAGGTCAGGAGAAGGAACCCCAAAGGGCAGCTGATGTCAGAAAAATGTCCTCAGAGATGAGTCAAAGGGGTGGAGAAGAGACTGGAGTGGCGAGGATATGAGGCATCTTGAGGCTGCTCCAACCCCCTTCCTTCTCTCTGAAGTGCCCCTGCTAAACAGCCAGTAACAGCTGCCTAGCAGAAACAAGAAAAGAAGCAGAATTTGCCTCTGTTGCTCCTGCCACTCTGCCCAGCCAAGCCACAATCCTCTGAGTTTGGGGATTTCTGGGCCTGTTGGTTGACTGGATCCCTCAGTTAGGGAACGTGCTACTACAAGGTGTAGTGATGGCCACTACCTTGCATGGCTTGCAAAGGAGATAAGTCAAATTCACAGAGGAGGCAGCTGGCAATGGCTACGGGTGGCTGTCTATTGCCTTCAGTGTCACACCTGCGCCTCTGCGAACAAGTGCCTGGGGAACACGAGCATGAGGACGCCGTTGCACTCGCGGCCAGCCCCTGCGACTGATACCTGGCTGACTACTGCGCAAACAGAATGTCTGACTGGACAGGCCTCTGGCTTGATCCAACCGGGTTCGTCTTATGTTTTTCTGTACCAGAAGCTTCTCAGACACATAGCAGATTACTAAGTGTGCAAAGAGGTAGGAAGAGAAGCAGGTGTGTACATATGTGCATACAAGGCAGAGACCGCGAACACATGCCAGTCACTGGAGAAATTTACCTGCATCTGACTTAGCAAGAAGCACTCTGTAGAAGAATCCTCTGCAAAGCCGCTGCTGTCAGAATGCTGACTGGCTGATCGCAATAGCTGGTCTACGGAAGAGGAAAAAGGAGAAGTGGAAATAAATGCAAAGCAGTCTTAAAGGGGTCTTTGCCAGGTCTTTTGAAGCACCTCATTGTAAGACTGTGTTTACCTAATAAAAGGGCACATGCATTTATGAACAGGAATGAGGTATCTGACTTGTCCCAGGGATTTGGCATTTGAAACCACTACACTTTTAGTACCATAACTGTGAGAAAGGCAACAATTTTCTTTTTACACCTAATCATGAGGTGTAAATGCCAAAAAGAAAAGGAGACCATCATATATGACCAGAGGTATAATAGTAGCCGTATTTTGTGTATTTTATGGGATGGATGCACAAGATTTATGGGAACCTCAAGATGAGTATAATGAGGTTTAGCAGGAACCACTAATCCTCCAAAGTTTGTGTGTGTGTGTTTTGGTAAAATCAGTCATCTTCTGAATTTTAGTTTGCAAACAGACAATTCTTGAGCCACAAGTTCTGTCTAGAAAAGGCATACACTAATTTCTACCCCTGAAGACAAGTAAAGCTCACTCACCCAATAAAATGATTCATCCTCCCCCCCACCCCACCCCCCACACAAAGAAGTTCAACACCCACAGTCACACACAACAGCTCAGCAAACTTGGTGGTTTTGCAACCAGTCTTGGCTGAAAAAATGGAGTTGTCAAACATCTGGGAAGTGTCAAAGCATAAATAAAGGCTGCTTTTCACCCAGGTAGAATACAAATGGTGGCAGCTTGAGCTAGCAGCAGCTGCTCCATGAATTTCAGGTGATTTATTTTCATTGGCTTCAATGGGTTTTATTTGCTTAAAATATTCCAGTTTAAGTCACTAATAGTTCTACATGTCAAGTTTGTTTGTTTCTTTATTTGATTTCTATACTGGCCATTAGTCAAAATGACTTTCTGGGCAGTTTACAGTATCATAAAAAACAGCACGTAGAATAAAAATTGTAAAAATTATTAAATAAATAAAAATTAAACCAAACATACAAATGAATATAATAAATACCAAGAACATAAAAGATAAAAAGTCCCTTTAAAAGGTTAGTTTAACCATTTAAATACTGGACAAATAAAAAGGTTAAGAAGCTGCAGACACCAGATCTGGTCCATACTAGGAATGCAAACAAATATTGGAGGAAAAATGCTCCCATAGTCCAACTAAAATGATGACCCCAAGCATGAAGAAGCAAGTCTGCTCTTATCCGCACAGAACATCTTGGGCTCCATTTCTTGGTCATGCAGAAGTGTGATGGAACAGTGGGAATTTCTTAAAAAATACAGACAGACTTCATAAAGGTGAGTGCCCCTTGCAGAAGACCAGATCAAATATTCGTTATTTCTAAGACTACTACACTTCAGACTCAGTTCACATGCTCTGCTTAGTGTGGGCTTCTACCAAAAGGCAAGGCAACCCTCCCCGCAACACACACTAGAAAACCGAGCACCCCCTACCTTGAGAGTTCCAACCACAGCGAAATGGACTGAAGAGGCTGGCACCAAAGTCTGCTGAACTTAGTGCTGGTTTCCATCACGGTACAGCAAATGCCCTATTTGCATCTAGTTGCAAGGGAGCACTTCAAGTCAATCTAAACGAAGCTAAGCTAAGCTCAGCATGATGGCAGCGTTCACACGGAGTGACTTCAGCAAGCTTTTGGAGCTAGAAGTCTGTACTCTTGAGGCAACTCACACTCTGTGTGGGGAAAACCTTCAAATATACTATAAATCCCAATACTAATAAAGTAAGCCATAAAGAAGCATTTTACAACACAAGATTCACGTTTATGGGAGCATTTAATGCCTAAGAAAAGTAAATATTTAGGCAGGAACCAAAACCCTCCTTTCCCCACCCAACTAAATTGTTCTAAGAAATTCTATAATTTATACAGAATAGCCAGCAACAAAACTGTGGAATTTTCTGTAGAGCATTTTTGAAGGTTTTTGACTCCACAAAGCTTTGATCTTAAGTACATTTTTACAAGATGATCATGAAAGAAAAATAAATAATTTGGAGTCCAACATACTCGAGAGTCTTCTAGAGCAGATCACATAAACTAAAACAAGTTTTATAACCCAAGAAAGCTTTCTAAATTTGCTGCAGTTGAATTTATTCATTGTGAGCTATGAATAATTTGATAACTTCACACACAGGTTGCTCAGAGATGAGCAGCGGCTTCTCTGAGGGGGAAGCCTTTCAACATAATTCTCTCTTCTATTTTTAAATGCAGTAAAGACAGTTACTGCACTCTTGGTGTCAAAATACCTGTCAAAGTGTTTGTTATCTTGCATTGGGATTAGATTCCACTCCTGTACAAAAGTACAGTCTTTTGCAACCTTTTACGAAGGAGAAATGCAAAACAATTAATTCTCTCTTTGCATATATGGGCAGCCCATCAAAAATGGATGTGAGCACAAGAGGAAGTTTAAATGCGCACATAGTTGTAGGTTATTGTACAGGCAGTCCCCGGGTTACGAACCAGCTCCATTCCTGAGAAAATGGAAATTTGTCTTTAAGTTAGATGTAAGCCAAATCATGTGTAGTTGGTCCTCCACATTTGTGGGGGTTGGGGTATAAGATCCCTGTGAAAGTGAAAAAACCACAGGTCTCTTTCTCCGCTTCCCAAACCCACCAGGGGCTCCTCTTTGCAGCAAGGAAATGCCAGAGAGATTTCCTTCTCCAGATGGGCAGAGAAGGAAGGCCTGCTTTGGAGGCCTCCCTCTCTCCCCTTTTGCTACCTTCTCTCTCTATGGTAATGATGTTTTTCCACAGTAATTTTTTAAAATTAATAGGATTTAGAGCAGTTTCTTTGGAAGTACAGACAGTCATAACTCGGGAACTGCCTGTACCATTACACACACTGATATGGCATTGCAAAGATTTTTCTGAAGGAGGCTGTCTTAGAATAGCTTCAATGAAGTCGTACCGAAATGGCAACTGCTCAACACTAATACAGAGTTTAGGATAGAAGTAGCTGGCAATGACCTGGTTCACACAACGCAACAACTCATCATGGATGATCAGCCAGGGAGGGTTGTCCTCTCCTGTAAAGTTGGTGTAGTTTCACAGTAGGGGGGCCTATTTTCTATGAACAAAAATGCATGGTGGCTGCCTGGGTCTTCCGAATCCAGCAAGGGTACTTTATTGTGGGTTGCCAATAATGGCTGCCGAGCTGCCTGGCTGGGGTAGCCAAAAAGGTCTTTGCCACGCTTGCCAAGCAGCTCAGTAGCCCGTTCTTGGCACACTGGCTTTGGGTAACATGGCAATCCCTTGTGAGTGCAACAACTTCTACTACAACCCATGGGTAGTCAAGGTGGGTTGTCGACCTCAAACAATCCATGCTGTGGGAACTGTTTGCGCTTCTTACAACACAACAAATCCCCGTGCTGGGTTGCCATTTCCTGTGAACCTGGCCGGTGTCTGTTTTGATTGTGTCTTTCCATTCTTTTCTCTAAATTCAGAACAGGCTCAGCATTACAGGCTATACTCTACAAAAGGACTGTGTGACTATTTCAGAATAGGTATCTTACATGCAAAGCGAGTCGGACCACTGGTCCACTTCTAGCATGGCTCTCTCTGACTCTGAGTCTCCACGTAGACCATTCGGAGCCCTGCTAGCTTTTCTTTTTTTAAAGCTAGATGTGCTACTGTTTGCCTGGGACCAGTTACATGCAAAACACACGCTTTAGCATTGAGCTATGGCTCCTTTGCCTTCTTTGGCAAGGAAGACCAAGGAGGTGAAATCGAATTTTACGTAGGCAGGCGTTTGCAAGCCACCAAATCAAAAGCATTAAATAGCAAGTGCAAACATCCACATGGATGCGGATCTCAGCTTGCTCTAGGGCCAAGGGCCCTGGGCAAAGACTGCTTAGGAACAAGTGGGAAAAACACTTAGAAAGCTAGAGGGTGGGTTGCAGTGCTCGCGCTTACTGTGTACTGTAAAGGACATACACATTCGCTAACATACATAGGATTTTTTAAGAGTTCACATCAGCACCTTATCATACATTCTTATCTGCTGAACAAACTGAGTTGAGCCCTACCACCTCAGTTAATTTTACATTCTGCAGACTCAGATCTAGCTCTAAAACCAGAAAAACAGGATGAAATCAACGGTGCAGTCTCTGTCAAATTTTTCCACCCAAGCCTAAAGTTGGTTAGGAAAAGAGGAGGAAAGGGGAGTGCAGGTGTCTATATTCACGATTAATTTTCATCACCTGCTTTTATGACTCGAACGGCTTCAATATGCTTTGAGAGCTTCTGATCCTAGCTCCCCCACCCCACCACCACAGCCCGATGTAATTTTCTTATCTTGCCCACTGACTTCTAGTCCTCCAATTTATAATGCCCAGGAAACACTGTGACAAGTGGCATTTGCCAACTGAAAGGATCAAAGTAATCATCACAATCCAAGTCAGGCTACTGTTCCTGAACCAAAACCATGAGATGCCATACCAACAGATCCATTTTCAAGAGCACCCATTAAATCAACTGTACAAGGCTGGCCATCTTTGGAATCTTGGTAAGATTTCCAGAGATGCGAAGCAGAGAAGGATCTAAGCAAAGTCTTGAAGGGCCCAGCATCAAACTGGGAATCCAGATTCAAATCCCTGCAAAGCTATGAAGTTTACCGAGTGACTTTGGGCCAATCAGGCTCACACGGGATTATATGCAATGTCAGCCCGACTTAGGTCCAATTAAGTTCAGTAAGCCTACTGTAAGCAGCACTAACTTTGGATACAACTCACAGCCATTGCAAGGATAAAATGAGGTGGGATAAGCCTTGTACACTGACCTGAGGTTTTGAAGAGGAAAGTGACATGCAAATAATAACTGAGGCCATGTCTTCTGACTGTGACTCGGAGAAAATGCAGGCTTGAGTCTTAGCTGAACTTGGAATTTTAGGCTATAGCTCCACAGGAGAGCGCATACCCTGCATCCAGGAAGGCCCCAACTTCATTCCACAGAATTTCTAATTTAAATGCCCTATGGAAACAACTCCAGGAACCAAGACCTTGGAGAACTACTGCAGGTCCAAAGTTTGTCATTGTTGTTTCTTACAGCTTAGGGAAAGGCTATGAATGAAAGCCCTCCAAAATATCCTGTCCTTGACAGCCCTGAGCAGCTCTTGTAAACTCAAGGCTGTGGCTTCCCTGATGGGACTGAGCCATCTTAAAACTGGTCTTTCCCCTCTTCTTCTGCCTTTGACCCTCCCTAACATGACTGCCTTCTACCAAATGCCTGATAAGCAAACCATGCAGACTCAGTGTTAGCTAGTTCCACATGGCCCCATTTCATTCCTGAACTTTAAAGAAAGCCAGGCATTGACATCTCTCTTAAATGTGCTGCAGCCTCATTTTTAAATGAAAGTTACAATATCTTCAGCGACAGCCTCGTGGTCTGCTTAAGATTCACCCATCAGGTTATTACTGAACGAAAGGGTGAAAGTAGGTTGCTTTCCTGAAGCAAGTTTCCCTGAGTTAGCACTAGTGCAACACTCCGTTTTCATAGCTTGTAGCAAGTGAATCTTCTTGTTCCAGTCTGACCACTTCAACAAACAGAAACCCAATAAGCAAAACATATCTCCATCTGGGTTACGTAAGAGCAAATGCCAGCACTCAACACACCAGATAAACTTGCTTTCTGGCTATTAAGATGCATTACCCATAAAGTGCATCCCATTATCTGTACTTGACTGTGCCCCCACCCCAAAATACATTTTCAAACAATGGGGATTTATGGCAAATTTTATATTAAGTCCAGAAAAAATATAATAAAGAGGACATGTTAAAAGCTTGCATTAAAGCATGGATCAGTACAATAAAATTCAGTGTACTTAACATAAAAAATGTCAAGAATCTTCTTTACACTTTCTAGTTTTTTTAAGCGAGTGTGAAAACCCATCAGATACGGTACTGCGAACCTATTAAAAATGACTATTGGACTACAGTAAGTTATACAAAGCAACTAGAGTCTCATCTTTGGAAGTACAATAGTGTCCAAAATTGCGAGTTCATGACATTCTGTGCTAAGCAGCATAACTCTGATAGAGGAAGAAAAACATCCTGCATGTAAACAGCATCTCTGAACCAAGCTGTGTCACTAACGACAAAAACAGGCAGTATAATGCAGGTGATGGAAACAAGGGGTCATTCTGCAACATTAGCCTACAGCAGCCTCCCCCAAACTGGGGCTCTTTGGATGTTTTTCACAACTCCCAGCATTCTTGATGATTGCCCATGCTGGCTGGGGATGATGGGTGCTGAAGTCAAAAATATGTTGGCGAAGGCGAGTTGGGGCTTTCATAGGAGACCAAACCGAGGCTGAAGGGCAAGGGCATCCCATTTGCCTCTGCCAGGAGGGTAGCTGAGCCAGGGCTTGCAGGATCAAAGCAGCAGGTCTGTCTGATCAGCAGGGACAGTGATGTCTGGTGACACACCCGCATCCACCCACAGCTGGTTCACACAGTTGCAGGAGGAAGATAATCCACTTGGCTTTCTTCTCCCACCATGCAGGCTGGCTGCGTGCTGGCTGGATTTCCCTAATTACTCACCATGGTGTGGCTTATGGTGTGGCCTGCTGGTAAAGCCTGCCATGCCGTGGAAGAGGCAGCAATTCTCACATAACTAGATAACGTCCCTTCGATCATTTGAGGGCTGCTTCCCTTTCAAACTAGCCATGGCCAAGTAATATGGCAAAGAGTACAAGCAAAGGTGTTTATGCATGTCCAAGCAAGTGGCTTGTTAACCTCGTGAGAACGGGACATCTCTGTGTACTTCTCTGTTCCTTCTGAGCCTAGCTGAAATTTTCACACCTATCCTTGTTGTCAAGCAGAGTAGTCTAAGGTGGATTGGCCTGAATAGGCAGTCAAGGCCTGTTAGTTTTACCAAAGACCTGCTCCTAGTGAAGATGAAAGCAGCTAAAAAGCATTTTTTGACTTTGAGCTAAAATGGTCCTCCCTGGGGCTGGGAAAACAAGCTTTTGGAAGTCTGGTGGTCTTATGCTGTTCGGGGACAAGCTGTAGCTCTCCTTCCCTTTCTCATGCCATCTCAGGTCTCCCAGCCAAAGTCCAAAGTTCCACCCAATCCAAGACATGTTGCCAGCTCACTATTTCATAACTGTCTGCTGATTCCAATAAACTGTATTAGCATGCTATGCGCTGTGGCTGCTTATGCACAGTGCACATGTGCTACACGCGCAGACACGCACCCACGCACAGCTGTGCCATTTTCCATCTCTCCTTGGGGTTCTTGCAATGAGGACGGTCATTATGAGCACTGGCATTTCTAAAGCTACAACCACACCAGTCACAAATGCAAAATATGGGCTCCCACCCTTCTCTTTGCCTAGTCAGCCGGGCCTCGGGAATAGGACTGAGCTTTCTGGGGCAACAGCGATGCTTCTGGGAGTCTTCCATGTCTTTCAGCTCTGGCAGGGAGTCCTGGCACACCCACACTCTCTTTCCTGGAAGAAAGGCACTGGCTATGTATTGCGGAAAGCAAGAGGAAGGGACCCCTTAATTAAAGATACGCAGATTTAATTTAATTCAAACAAACATTTCTATCCCGTCCTTTCCAACGAATGGCTCAGGACGGCCTACAACGATTTAAAATATCACAATCATACAATGATAAAACAGCAGATATTAAATCAATATAAAACAGCACTTCATAAAACTAAGGGAAAGAAGGAAGCTAAGGGAAAGATGAAATGAATGTGATTTATCCCTACTATTAGTTTTGTCAAAAAGAGGGACAATTTGCCCAGTGTATCACAATGTCCCTTTGTTGTAACAATGTACCATTAAGCTGATGCTTTGGATCCCTGAAGCATCGCTGCTCACATTGCTTGTGATGCATGTTTCTGAGTGAATGACTATACAGCCTTTTCAAATATTCTTCTGATTTTTCACCAGTGTGCATTTTTGGTTTTGTACTGTATTATCAGGAGTTGCATAGCCTATGGCTTTGTTCTGTTTGCATATAATGGAAAAGAAAGAGGGCTGGGTGATCAATGCTGCAATGGGCCTCACTGTGCCAAGGAGCAGAGAATGATGGACGTAACTGATGTGGTCCACCCAAAGGAGGATGAAAGTGTAAACCAGTAGCAATACGCTCCTATTTGGAAGTTGGAAGTGCAATCCTACAACAGACTGACTGTGGGGATGGCCCCACTGAACACGGCGAGACTGGAATATAAGCAGAAATGCCATGTAAGGCTATCCATGTGCCCATTCGCACAAAGCTTCTGTACAGTCAGCACTCAGAAGAACAGAAAAATGATGCATGCACCACACATATTTAGGTTTAAAGGAGATGTAATTCTATGGTTAAAATTGTCATATTAAATAACAGGGCTCCACGATTTAAAAAATGTACAACCTCTCAGTTTTTCTGCCAACAGACAGTACAGAGAAGTTGAACCATTAATTGAGGTTTCCAGCCCGAGTCATCCCCTGTCATTTAAGGTGCCACTTCACAGGACTACACAATGATTTGAAACCTAACTGGGAAGCAGAGCTAAGATCTTTGGGGTGGGCCCCTATTTAAAAAGCTTCAAGTACCCAAATCAGCATGTCTGTGGATACTCTCAGAAAGAAAGGGACTCGTGCCAGAGTCCTTTCAGAAGAGGCAGAAAAAGCAAAGCAAAGCAAAGCAACCTACTCACCTTTTTTGGTTTTGGTCAAAGCCAACTGGCCCGTGTTAAAAACATGTGGAATCTCTCCCTCTGTGCTTTGAATCTGCAGTAGAAGAAAATCAGAGTTGTATTTTTTAAAACAGAGTGATGCCTAATCAACAATATACTCACTGGTCAATTTATTTGGAAGTGCCATACACTGCATAACCGCTTGCTTAGCTGATTAACAATTCCAGTACAATCAAGCCTGGCAATTCAAAAGTAATCACTTATTCTGGAAATCCTTTTCAGACTTACTGGCCGGAAAATAAATACTTGAGATGGAACACACCAATAAATGGGTCCAATAAATGCGAAAAGACTATGATGTCATGTCAGTAATTCAGGGGTAATGGAGTGAGAATAAAAGAGTATTTAAAAAAAAAGAGCAATGCTTTTATTATCACAACCATTGCAGGGATCATTTTTAATGTTTAGGTTAAAAAAGGAAAGACAAGAGATGGATGAATTGGTATAGTAACCCCACCAAAAGGGATGGTGAGAGAGACATCAATTTCAGAAGGGGTTCAGCCTGTGGTTACCCTCTACGATGCTCTATGCCAGGAGAGAGGCAGGAGGGCCATGTCCCTGTTGGTACTCCTGGATCTCTTGCTGGCTTTGGGCCCCTGGATCTCTTGGTCAGACTGTCAACCATCCTTCCGGGGTGACAGTCCCCGAGTTTGAAATGGTGCTACACTGCAGTGGCTCCACTCCTGCTTGAATGGCTAGCTCCAGGGGCTGGTACTTGAGGAATCTTGCTGACCCTAACCTTAACCCTAATGCTAACCCTGTATACTCCAGCATGAGGTCCCTTGGGCTCAATTTCGTTTCCTAAGCTGCTCAACATCTACATGAAACCACTGAGTGGAGTCTCTGGACTGTTGCAGGGCGTTGCTATTAATATGCTGATGACATGTTTCTCTAGTTCTCTTTTTCATCTCCAACAGGTGAAGCTGTGGATGTGCTAAACTGGTGCCTGGCTGGGAGAACAGACTGGACAATGGGCAAAAAATGGAAGCTCAGTCCAGACGGGACTGAGATGCTGTTGGTGGGCAGGTCCTCTGGCCAAACAGAGAAAGCGCAACCTGTTCAGGTGAGTGTTGTACTCCCCTTGTGGGAGGATGTGTATAGCTTGATCCGTCTTTATCACTTGAGACTCAAGCGGCCTTGGTGCCATGCAATGCCTTCTATCAGCTTCAGCTGGAGGCCCAGCTACACTCCTATTAGGCCAGGGTTAGCCTGGATTCAGTAATCTAAGCTCTGGTATTCTCGTTTAGATTATTGCAATGCACTCTACGTGGGCTGCCCCTGAAGTATGTTCAGAAGCAGCAGCTTGTGAAAAATGCAGCACCCAGACTAACACCCAGAACCAAATGTTGGAGCACGTAAGATCAATTCTGGCCTGCTTGCAATGGCTGCCTGTAAGCTTCTGAGCCTGGTTCAAGGTGCTGTTTCTAACCTATGAAACCTCACACAGCTTAGAGCTCATACCTGATGGAATACCTCTCCCAAATAGAACATACCTGGACATCGTACTCAACATCTTAGGCCTTCCTCCAAGCAGGGAGGTTACAAGGAAAAGGGCCTTCTTAAGGGTAGCCTCTCAGCTTTGGATGATCTCCCCACTGTGGCATATCTGGTGCCAACTCCATTCTTCTTTCAACACCAGGTTAAGGCCATCCTTTTCTCTAAGGAATTCAACAGCGGCTACCAGCACATGGGGCCCTTTTACGCTGGTCTCACTGCACTGCTCAATTGTTTTTCAGTTGCTCAAAGGGTTAATTCTTTTTCCAGTTTTGTTTATTAAAGTTTATATTATGCTGTTTGCATAATGGATCATGTTTTGCTTAATTGCGTGAGCTCTGGCTGTTGGGCAGTATAGAAATGAAATGGAAAGCACTGCACATATTCCATCTGCAACAGTAACTTAGACTTGACTTAAGCTTGGAATGTGTCTCGTTTCCAGCAGCTCCTGAAAACACCTTTATTTCCTGGGGTAACCAGTCCTGGTTTATACTGATACTCTGATTTAATATAGCATTTTATTATTTTTGTCTTTTTACTCTCTTCATTGCATCTTTTTACTCTCTTCATTGCATTTTAATTTTTTTGTATATCACCTTGGTGGACCTTTAGCAGACACAGTGCTATATAAATGTTACTGATACGGAAGTTACTGTAGACTGAGCTTCTCTCATGCTGCCTACCAGCAAAATCCTTCTTTCTTTCCTGTGCCCTAAAAAATCATTTAAAACACATATACAAACCCTAAGCCTGAAGAAGGGCTCTGTGGCCCTCCATTGTTGTTTTTGAGTTGGTCCCATATAGCATTCCTTGTTCTGACTGTTCTTACATTTTTGAAGTGTTATAAAATAATAACGGGCTTCATCACCCAAGAACTACAAGACACTAGATGGGAACTTTTCATGGCACTTGAAATCTTCTCATAAACAGAGCATTTCAATGGGGAGCACTACAAGGTTTCTAGATTGCACAGACCTCTATAAAGCTCAATTTACTCTGGGAGACTCTGCATAAATGCTGCCTTCTTAGGAGAATGGAGGAGACTGCAGGACAAAGTAGCTCCTTTGTCAAACAACAAGAAGGCTAGTCTAAATTAATTACTACATAATCAGTTTTTGTGCAACTTTTTTATTCAAACAGAGAAGCTAGACAGGAAAGCTTTTGTCCGACAAAAAAAGGGCTGTTGTACATGTTCATCTTCCATGCAATAAATGAACTATTTGATAGATGCCAGTCTAGTCTATTAAAGTAAAATCATCCCATATGTGCAAACACAATTAGGTTCAAAATACAGAAGAAGGGAAATCACATCATTTGCGTAATTGTTCTGTTCAGCTTATGCATTGTCCTATATCCAGGGCACACTGGTCAAAGTAAAACTTCATAAAGCTGCTATAATCCAGTAACTACTACCAAGATTAAATGCAGTGGACATCCCCTTCACATACACCCACAATCCATAAAAATGAAGAATGGCTGTGGCTGTGAAGAACAGTTCTAAGACATAACCTTAAAAACAACTGACAGCAAAACCTACAGAAAGCGAACATGCTCTGGACAATACAAGGGACTTCGCTTGGGGCCAAAAAGATAATAACACAGCCACTGGTGGCCCACTTGGCAGAAGGCATTCTCCATGCAGGGTGGCTGCTGAGAAGGCACAAACAACCAGCCACCAAATTTCAGTACACAGGGGGTCTAGGAACAGAGCTTCCAATGTTAATTCAGGACACAAATGGGAACAAAGAAATAGGTGGTTCTTCAGATTCTAGGCCTCCTATTCGGAAATGCTTTATAGGTTAAACCTGGCTCTTTAAAATAGCCCTGGAAATGAACCTGGAGTCAGAGAAGGTAATCAAGTACTAATGTAATAAGATTATAATACCTAGTCCTGGTCATGCCTGCAGCAGCAGTTTCCAGAGCCTTCAGCCCACCTTCAAAGGCACCCCGTGCACAACGCAGTGCTGTGATCTAAACAGGAGGTACCGAGAGCACGGATTCCTGACACCGAGCTATCAGCGCCCAGGCAGAGCTTTTGATAGCTTATCAGCCTAAGCTGGGTAAACAGCACCAGCGATACCTGGGCTCAGGGAACAAGCGATGAATCCACAGGCATTCCCAAGGCAGAGGGCTCGATCCTTAGGGAAGACTGTGAGCCACCATGGAGCGCTACTACTCCAGAGAGCTGACCTGTCCATTCATAGGACCTCCGTCTTATCTGGGCAGAGTTTCAGTTTATTGAGCCTCAGCCAGTCCGTGGCCAGGGCCAGATGCAGAGTAAGCGCTTGCTTTGCCTCGCCGGATTCAATCAGAAAGAGAGAAAAGCAGGGAGTCAAGTCACCAGCATGCTGATAACACCACACGGGTGACCTCAGAGGTTTCATGGAGAAACAAAATGGCATGGGAGACGAGACGAACACTTGGGGGTCCCCAAAGAGCAAGTGCCAAGGCACTGGGCAGACATCTCTCAGCAGCGTTCCCTGAACACAGTTGCCCCAAGTATGAGTGGAACCAGTGTAAACCATCCCACCCAATGGAAGGGAATTTTAAAAAGGGAAAAGGGTGGGGGAAGCAAAAAAAACGCCACTCACTCACTCCTTCCCTGTGCCCTCTTGGCTCAGCAAAGCTTTGGGTAAGGGGACCCTTCTGCTCTCAGCACTCCCCCCAGCAATGCTAAAGATGCCCAGCCTATCTATACCCCCCTCCTAGATTCTGGTTCTCTCCCTATTGTTTTTGAGGTACATGTTGTTGTGCATCCATATCGTCTCCTTCCGTCTTTCAGGCTACCGGCTGACCACACAATTTTCTCGTTTGCCAGAAAATTTTCTCGTTTGCCAGGATTTTCCTTCCTTGCCTTGCTCTGAAAACTGTGTTCATTCTTGGAAGCTGGACTGTCAGGGATTTTATTTTAGCAATTTGACTGTGTTTTATTTAATCTTTAATTTAGATCCCTTTTTGTGTGTTGACATGCCCTAAACCACCACGAGTCTTTAGGATAAAACCAGAAGAACTGCAAACACAGTTCTAAAATAAAGATAAAAATTATATGGAGCAAATCATATAGTCAATTCTATTGGCTTTTAGGTGCATTTGCCTGTCATTTCTTAAGATTACAAACATACGAAGCATCTTCACTGTGAAAAAGCACTCTGAAAAATCTAATGTCACATGTAGCTATAAATAACTGCTTCTTAATTACAGGGAAAGTTATGCCCAAATTGTATACAAGCTGCAAAGATAAAATTGTCCACTTTTATAAGTCATTGACTTATTCTATTGGCAAGTAGCCATTAAAAAAAAAACCTGAAACACTGGACATCTTTAATTTTGTGTGGACAGAACTGCCCAGTTTTCAGCACATGGTTTAACCAATTTTCATATGAAAAAATTAATACCAGTGATAGTTAATCACAAACAGGAGCCTAAATTCTCCCAGAAGCATTGGCTGCCATCTACTCATCCCGTATCTGAAACAATCATTTCAGCTTACTCACCAGTTATAATCATGATGATTGATTTAATTTACAGCCTGCCTTTCTG